CCATGCAGGAATACACAGCACACCCTGAGCAGGCCAGTCCTCAGCTGGATGGAAGGACATCGCAGTGGGGGAAGCCTTGCAGCTCTTTCTGAAGCCATTGCTGCTGGACACCATCAGAACTGCACCCCCAGGGCGAGTTGGCTGAACCCCACCCTTAAGGTGAGTGACTCTGGGCAGCATTCTGGTCATGAAGCACCCACAGGCTGCTCCAACTGAGTGTGACATGAGCTCCACACTGCCAGAGCTCTTCACTCCCCAGCTCACAAATGCTGCTGGACTCCTCAGCAACCTGGCACCACACCAGGAGCCCTGAAAGTGTCACTGCCCCAGTGCCACTGCACACCAACAAGAGTCTATAAACACCTGCAGGCTGTTCCCTTGATGCCTTAAGCTTTAGCTTTTCTATTTTCCAGGTCCTGTGCTGCGTTAGTGTGAAGCTCTGAACTCCATAAGCTCTCTTCACAGTTTGGGCAGACAAAACAATCCTTCCAGGCCTGAGAGCCAAGGTCACCATCACAGCCTCAACAAAAGTAAACTGGGGGGAAGCAAACTGAGGCACTGTGACTTCATTACCTGAAGCTGTAAATGGAGAATGAACCTCTGATGTGCAAATAGACCAAATTATATCTGCCCAAAAAACTCCTGCCCATCGTGCACCTTGGGTGTGGCCTCTGCCAGGCTCTGCACTGCCCAAGGTGAGCCTGTTAAAGGCCTTTAATAAATACACACTTTATTGCTTTGACTCTGTCTGGCCTCTGCTCTAGGTAGCCATTTCAGGCATCACCCTGCTCGCTGCAACTCAATCCCAGGTCACCTCAAAGGAGATGGGCTGGGTGAGTTCTCCAGGAGACACCTTCCTGCTGTCCTTCATGGGTCACCTGAGCTACTCAACAGCAGCAGCAGGAAGACATTCCTCCTCTCAGCCTGCCTTCAAATCCCCAATTTGCAAATGTGTACAGCAGATGAAAAGACTCCAGTGAGGCTTTCATCTTCATGGATCAGCAGTCCCCAGAGGGTCTGCCACTCAAATGGGCCCCCCCAATACCTATTTGGCCTGGCCCTGGCATCCTTCCCCAGACATTTCAATTGATGTCACTGATCTTGGCTCAGCAAATAATCCTTCTAATCACTGGCAAGAACAGAGGCTGCAGCTCAGCACTGCTCAGCCATGCTGAGGGGGGTACACAGCAAGAAAGCGTCACTCTAGAAAGTGAGCTTGAAGGCTGACCACACAGGCAGCAGCTGCCATGAACCAGGAGGGCACACTTTTTAAAATAAGGGCTGTGGCTTTGGTCTCTCATGACTGGGAGATGGTTGCCACTGTACCTGTGAACACTTTGCAGTCTGGCATGGCACAGGGGCTGGGAATGGCCCTCAGGGAGCTGGAGGTGTATCAGCAGTTGCCATGAACCAAGGCCAGGCTGGATGGAGCTCTGAGCAGCCTGGCATAGTGGAAGGTGTCCCTGCCCATGGCAGAGGGCTGGAACAAGATGATCTTTAAGGTACTTTGCAATCCAACCATTGTGTGCAGGCAGCTGAGCCCTGCAGAGGCTGATGCAGGATGAACCTCCTCCTGGAGAGGTGTCCCTGGGCTACAGGGGCTGATTGAGAGCTTTGGCCAGCAGGTGTGAGCAGCTGCCATGAACCAGGAGGGCACACTTTTTAAAATAAGGGTTGTGGCTTTGGTCTCTCATGACTGGGAGATGGTTGCCACTGTACCTGTGAACGCTGTGCAGTCTGGCATGGCACAGGGGCTGGGAATGGCCCTCAGGGAGCTGGAGGTGCATCAGCTTTGGCTGTCAGAACACACATGGCATCTACAGACAGCTGCAGAGCGTTCTGTGTGCCAGAGGGTCTGGGAACATCCAGCAGAAGGACATCACTGTGCTGCCTTCTCAGAGAGCCCCGTGTCCCCCAGGACAGCAACGTCATCACATCTTCATTTTCGGAACACGGTTCCCATGGGAGTGAGGGCAAGGAGTGCTCGTGGATGGAGCTGGATTGCTCCAGAGCATCACAACCAGCTGGCCTCTGTGAAAACAGCCTTTGGAACCATCATTGTCTGGTCACTGACAGCACTTGCTCCCCAGCACCAGGCAGCCAGCAGGCGCCAGGAGTGCCAGGGAAAGGCTGGGAGAGCTGGGGGCTCTCCTCAGCCTGCCCAGTCCCAGCACCAGGGCCATTGTTCCCAAAAGGATGTCTGAGGATTAATTAATTATCCTACAAGGGGTAGTAAGTAATAACACTCCTTGTGGAACAATAGAAGCTATTTGGTCACCATGACAACCCAGCTTCACTTGTGTGCCTTTAATTTATTCATTGCACAGTTCCTCTCCCAAGCACACACGATGCCAAAAAAATGCCTTGTTTTTCTTGCCAGTATCCATGTCCAGAGCGGGGTAAAACACAGCCCTTTCCCCGGGGCATCTGTCACACAGAAGAATGATGCACATAAAATCCCCTCAGCCTGGAAACTTACATCACAGGAGATCTCTTCTGCTCCCTAAATGTTTGTTCTTTAAGATGATTCTGATTCTTAACCCCTTTTTGAAGCTGCCTCACCATGGTGCTCAGAGATCTTGATCTTGAATAAATTCTCACCTACAGCCACCTCATCTCCCATCCCAGGCCCTTTCCACACTCTCTCCCCGTGTCCCAATCTACATAGGAAAGATGAGCAGGACATTTTTTTCAAACAGAGAGCCAGGAGGGATAATCAAAAGCCTAGAAGTGACATTCCTTCACATCCACGGGAGTGTGGCAGGGACAGTGGTGCCCAGCCTGACCCCAGCCACGCCACCACCATCAAAGTGTCCATCACTGTGCTGCTCAAAGTCTGCAGGATCCAGAGCAGCATGTGGATGAAGGTCTCTGCCAGGAAATCTGTGCATCACAGAGGGATCATTGTTGCTGTTTCTCCCCCAGTTGTGGGCCAGAGGGGAGCAGGGGCTCGCTGCAGAGGGGAGAGCACCACATTTACATGGCAAGGGTTGGAAAGTGCTGCTGGTTCAGTGGCTGCTGTGTGCCTGGCCAAGCTGCTCACACCTGCTGGCCAAAGCTGTTGATCAGCCCCTGTAGCCCAGGGACACCTCTCCAGGAGGAGGTTCATCCTGCATCAGCCTCTGCCGGGCTCAGCTGCCTGCACACAATGGTTGGATTGCAAAGTACCTTAAAGGTCATCTTGTTCCAGCCCTCTGCCATGGGCAGGGACACCTTCCACTATGCCAGGCTGCTCAGAGCTCCATCCAGCCTGGCCTTGGACACTGCCAGGGATGGGGCAGCCACAGCTTCTCTGGGCACCCTGTGCCAGGGCATCCCCACCCTCACAGGGAAGAATTTTTTCCTAAGATCCAATGTGAACCCACTCTCTTAGTCTGAATCCATTCCCCCTTGTCCTGTCTCTCCAGCCCTTGTAAAAAGTTTGTCTTCACCTTTCCTGTGGGCTCCCTTCAGGTACTGGAAGGCCACCCCTAAACTGGCTTTTTTCCAGGCTGAGCAATCCCAGCTGTGCCAGCCTTTCCTCCCAGCAGAGCTGCTGCATCCCTCTGATCATCCTGGTGCCTCCTCTGGACTCACTCCAGCAGTCCCTGTCCTTCTGTGCTGGGGACAGAGCTGCTCAGGCCCGCAGGGACAGTTCTACAGCTGAGAACCAGCACCCCACTCCCTCCCAGTTATGTCTGGGCAAGTCTTGGTCTCAAGGCACAAGCCCAGAGCCCAAACTGTCCATCCTGGCTCTAGCAGGAGGGTGACATTTGCCCCAGCACCCCAGAACACCCAGGTCCAAGCTGAGCCTAGGACGGGAGTTGACTCAAAGTTGAGTTGTGGCCTGACAGGCAAGACAGATGGGGCTAGGTTAAACCATCTGTAAACTAAACTGAGCCTAAACTCAAGCACAGCTACCCAGTGCCTCTGTACCCAATCTAGGGCCACACCAGTGCCCACTGTCACTGGGCTGAGGTGTCACAGGTCATGCAGGGTTCAGGTGATGGTGGGGTGGTAGCAGAGGAGCTTTCACATAGGAACATAAAGGTTCATGGCTGGCTCTTCCCCCTGGCTCATTCCTACACGTATTCAGGCTTTTCAGGCAGTTTGGAAACAAAACCAACTGGTCAGGTTGTGTCACCCCCCCTCCTCAGAAGAGCTGGTGGGCCAGGGAACAGGACAGGAGAGGCCAGAGACAGAGAAATGGGCCAGGAGCAGGGGGAGACCAAGATTTTAATTCACCTGACCTGCAAGAGCTCTAAACTGGCCCAGGATTGCTCTGCAGGGGCCAGGAAGGGAGGAACTGGAAGGAGCTGCCAGGAGGCTCACACCAGCCTCCCCCTCCACTCAACCCCTGGGAAAGGAGCAGAGTGTGGAGGAAAAGCCTCTGGACAGGAGGGAGAAAGGCAAGATTAGGCAATTACAGCACAATCCGTGTCCTCTGCTGGGTGCTCAGGGCTTCTGAGGAACAGTCCTGGGTGTGAACCTAAACCATGACCAAAGTGACCAAATTTCACAGGTTTCACCCCAAACCATTGCTACCTGAGCAATTTGGTTTTGTTATTGTTCATGGAGGTATGAAAAGCTCCAATCTATCAATGCCACCCAAAACCAGATTTCCATTTCCATGCCTCTCTTTCCAGCACAGATCTCCAAGGAAATGTTGAATTGCCACCAGCAAATGAAAACTCGCTGTTTTTAACTTGGCAGGGACAGACTGACCATAAAGCCACCTTTGCATCAACCAAAAAAATAAAACTCACATCTACTTTTTTAAGGCACAAGCTTTTCTGACTTGGGGAGGTGTCTGTGCAACCAGCACAGAAGGGATAAGAATCTACTCTGGATGAGATGAGATGCCACGAGCTCCAGAGGTGCCAGCAGAGATCCAGATGCCTCCTAAAAAACACTGCCTTGGAAGTAAATCCCAGCCAGAAAATGGAAGAGAAGTTTATAGTATAGTTGGGGTTTTTTTCCCTTCTCTCTTTTTTTCTTTTTCTCTCTCTTTCCAAACTTACCATGTTGACTTCAGAGATCTGGTCAATGCTGGAGATGTGGATGCTCATTCCCACTGTGACAGGGTTACCTGAAACATAAATAGGCTGGGTTAGGACCACACTCAAGTTCTCTTCTCCTATTTGCAATATAAGAATTGCCTAGGAAATGCATGGATTTGATTTTAAGCAGCCCCACATTCCCTGAGTATCATAGAATTGAATGTGATTAGATTTCTCTCACTCCCAGACATACAGACTCACCCCAAGGAGTAGTGCAGCCTAATCTTGATTTTTTTTTTTTAATTCCTGGAAGTTAATTACCCCCTAGTAACACAATTATCTCTGGTTATTCCAAATAATCCCTTCAGAGACCATCAGCAGTGGGCTTGCACAAGGTGGTCCTGATTGACCCTACAAAGAACTCAGCACCCAAGCCCATGCAAGCCACGGGCAGGAAACAGCTCCAGCTCACTCCTCCATCACTCTGAGTACTGAGCACTCAGTCTGAAAATCCCAAGTGAGTTTTAATACCCAAGGCACCAGACAAGTACAGGAAACAGATCTATGAAGTGAAAAAGCAGCATTTGTAAGGTGGCATTCCAGAGCAGAACTTGAATTAGAGAACAGGACAGTCCTTACTGTGGGGTTTAAGCCACATAAAACAATTTAAAATGAGATACATGCCCACTACCAAACCCAGCAAAAGCCTTCCTGTAGCTGGAAATGGGGTTTTGCATGTTACCCCTCCCCTGCTCAGGCCCACACCCCCAAAGGTAGATCACAAACCCAATCCCACCCCAAGAAAAGCCCCTTTCCCACACATGCAAGGTGGAAAATGATCCTGTGCAATGCTTCACTAGAAAGGGAAAGGCAAGCACTTGTGCCACTCAAGGTATTAACTCTTCCATGCACTCATTAGTAGATCTAAGTGCTGAAATATTTACAGATAATCATGAAATGGCTTAGAAAGTAATTAGGAGATTGGGGGAGAGGGGAGAACCACACAACTGGAAATGGAGTGATTTTTTAATTATGTGTTAGCAGAAGTAGGGAAGCAGTGTCATTAGGGGTGCCTTGTGATTGGGTGTGCTGTTCACCGAGACCCTCTGCTGCAAATTAAGCAGCATTATCCTTTAATGGAATATGAACAACACTGAAAACATCAGAATCAACCACTGTAATTAGGCCCTGCTATGCAAATTGCTTAAAGAGGCAGTGCAGGCTCCAGCACCCCGGGCTGGCTGACAGGGTGCCCGAGGCAGGGGGGCTCAGGAGACCTGCTGGAGCCTCTGAAGATCCCATCACAGACACACTGCCAGACACATCTTTGCTGTGCTCCTGCCTTCATCCTTCACAAGGGAGCCAGGTGGGAAAATAACCAACAGTCACGCCAGGGAGACACGATCCTCCGCAGCCTCTTTGTGCCAGAGGCTGACACAGGCACAGCAAAGCTTTTAAGGAAGTCTCACTTTGATAATTTGTCTTTTTTTTTTTCCCCTGAAATCAGGGTCTTGTGATAGAAGCCATAGCAGGAGGAGGAAGTCAGCGCTGCCCTGAGGATCTTGCAGGATAATTGGTTACAGGAGGAGAGTCAGGGCCATGCACAGGGCTGCAGCAGGGAGAAGTCACAGTCCCATTCCAGAGCCTTTCTGCCACGCTGTGCTGTTCCCTCCAAGAGTGCCCCACTGCCTGCTTGGTCTCCAGCCTGTCCCCAGCTGCCAGAGCTCACCCTGGGTCAGGGGTTCCATGTGGTGGAAAACCTTCTTCTCCAACCCGAGCTTCCAAAGAAAGGCTCAGCAGTCTCTGCTGTCCGGTCTCAAGGCAGTTCATTGCAAGTTATCTAAAAGATTTTCTCCTGGGGCTGCTGTGGTTTGCTCACAGCTCAGGCAGAGGCACACACACACCCTGACATCCTCTCTGACTCCCGACTGCTTCTTCTCTCCCCCTCTGCCCAGGGCTGCTGCTGCTTTTATATGGTACATTACGTGTTACATGGGTACAGTTTGTCCCCAATGCCTATTACCTATATTAAATGGTGCTTTTCTATCTTTTATATGGTACATTACGTGTTACATGGGTACAGTTTTTCCCCAATGCCCATTACCTATATTAAATGGTGCTTTTCTACTCTAAACCAATCTGTGAGTGCCAACATCACCAAGAACATGGAGGTAAGGAAGGAGAAAGAGGAAGGACAGGGCAGGCCCAAATCCCTCCATCTTAAAACCTCTGACCCCCATGTACAAAACTAAAGTCCCCCTGTACAGGACTTAAAATCCCCCTGTAAGCACTCAAAAATTCTTCCCTCTACTTTGTGACTCATTCTACTATAATATCTAAACTTTTGTGACTTCTTGTTCTTCCTGCAAGGTTGGTAAATCGTTCCATGGCTCAAACCCAAAATCACAGCTGTTTCCAGCTGCTGCCAGGGTCTCAAATGCTTCTGACCTGGACCCGAAACCTCCAAAAATGTCTGAGGGACATTTGGAGTTCCCACACCCAGCAGCGCTTGTGTCACTGTGGCTGTGCATCCCGTCCTTCCCCAGCACCAGCCAGGCTCTTCCCCACCGAAGGCAGCAGGCTGGGTGGGGGACCAGGGGAGCACTGGCAGTGGGGACCCACAAATGTCTGTCAGATGCAGAGGCTGTGCAGCCCCTTCTGTCCATCCAGACACTTGTGCTGTGCCCATCACCGAGTGTGCGTGTGCCATCCGAGCACCCGGGCTCACACAGACCCAGAGCCAGGGACGAGTTCCAGAGCTCCCCTCTCCCAGCTCCAGGAATACTCTGGGGTGGAGGGATCAGCTCCCTGCAGAGTCAGCAGGCTCCTCTTGGCACTGCCAACTCCTCCACATCCCATCCAGCAGCGAATTTGGGAGGCTCCAGCGCCCAGCTGCGAGCCCTGGGGCGTGCAGCCCACGGGCTCCTGGGTGAGACTGCCCTACAAACAACTAAATGCACGTCCTGCCTTTACTGCACCTGCTGCATCTTCATGCCAGAGAAGCCATCTCACCTTCTCCAGCCCTGCTGGCTCCCAGGCTGCTCAGGACAGGCATTCAGGAGCATGGACACGGCCAACACAAAAATATGTCCTGACTCTCAGTGCAGCCCAATGGAAAACCAGGCCAGCTGGTGCCCAACACTCAGACTTTAGGTAGTACAGAAAAATAAACAAAGGACATCAATTCTGCCAATGTTAATAGCTTCAGGCAAGAGGGATACAAAACTAGGGTATTTCAAATATGGGATAACGTCATCTGCAGATTTGTCCAAAAGAGACAGAACTCTGCATTTATGGATCTGAGACAGGGCAAAAGAAGTAAACCTGATATTAAAGGCCCATGCTTTTATCTGTGCCTTGCCAGTGGGTACAAGGAGCTAGACTTCCTCCCCTTAAAGAGAAAGCTTCTGCCTGGAAAGGATTTGTAGGCAAGACCATGAGAGAGGGAGTGTGAGAAATTCTGCCACTTTTACCAGTGAATGGCACCCTCACACATCCCTGTTTCTCACCACCACTGGAGAATTCACCAACATTTTGTCCTGAAAGTAGTTTGATGCCTGAGAATAATGCACTCAGGAAGTTGGAAGGGAAGCAGACAAAAGAGTTATAATAAAACCTGTTCTTTTTCTGCAAGTGATATTTGTCAAATATAAACACAGTCAAGGTAGAGAACAAGTCGTGCTAATCTGCAATATTTTCCCAGCAACCAGTTATTACTTTAACATTTTATTTTATAATGCATCAAACCCCAGCACCTGGAGTCACGTTGCTAACAGAAAAAACTTGGTGCATGTGCAGAGAAAAAGTTGTGTTTCCAAGGCTGTGTGTCCTGCACTCCAGCCAGAGCTGATGGCAGCCTGGACTGGGACATCTCTCCCAGAACTCAGCCTGGTTTTGAGCCCACAGAGCTCACTGAAGACAAAAGCACAACATTCAGTGAAGAGGGGGGAATTACTCAGGCAGCTGCCCAGAGCTGAGGTCCAAGTTGTCCCCTCTTCACTCCTACCCAAGGAAGTCAACCCTAGAGCAAGCTTGGGTTCCTCTGCCTTCAGATCTCCAGCTGCAATACAGACACAGCCAAAGAGACTCCAAACCAGTGGGCAGGTGAACAGAGCTCCATTTATGGTCCACTGAAGCCACATCATGTTCGTGAGCTGCAGCCAGAGCTTCAAGGTTCCTGGTTCCTGCATTCCTGACCATGCAGACCTGGCACTGCTGGCAGAGCCAAGTTTGCAGTTGCTGAGGGACAGGGATCAGCCTGAAAATTACCCTTTAGTCTGAACTGCAGGAACAAAGGCATTAACAGGGTGTCAGAAATTTCACAGCTTCTCTGAACAATACCTTCCTGCATTTCACTGCACTGAAGGCTTTGCCTAGATATCCAAACCAAATCTTCTCTGCAGTTTAAATGTAGTTTGGTCTCATCATTCCCCCCCTCCACGACAGTGAAAGAATAAATCAATCATCCTTCCTTAACAACAGCTTTTATGTTCTGAGAAACCATGACATCCCCCTCCCTCCCCCACTCATACTGCCTTGTCTAGATTAAATGCACCTGATTTCTTCAACCTCTCCTCAGAGGTCATGTTTTCTAAAGCTCTGACAATTAGTGCTGCTCTCCACTGGCCTTTTGCCAATTTGTCTACATCTCTATTTTAAAGGCTGGTATCCACAAACCAGCCACTGAAGCAATGACACGCTCGTACAGACAAAGGAAAAAGCAACCTCCCCTGTACAGAATCCTCCTAAAACCACAGAAGCATCTCCAAACCCTCTGCAGCCATCCTGGGAGCTGCTCACTCTGTGTGGGAGGTTAGAGATGGCAAAGGGGCAGCTGAGCTCCTGCCATTGGAGTGCATCATGCGTGCAGCAGGAGGGAGCACAGCCCTGTCTCTTCTGGACAAGAGGAGAAATTATTCAAGACAGCTTTGTGCATGAGCCTCAGCATTCCCTGCTTGCACCCTGCCTGTGGCATCACCAGTCTCTGAGATCCCCGCAGCAGCAGGAAAGCTGCTTTTAGGTCTTCTGCTGAGTAAACAAAGCCAACCAGAGAAAATTAGAGGCTTCAGTTACTAAACCTACATATAGA